GGGTGAACTCAAGCCTACGGCGGGTTGGCGAGCCGATGCAATTGCTTTGAGCGTGCAGCTAGACCCGTCCCGCCCAACTACAGATTCGCCGAAGTATCGGACTCCACATCAGCGAGCCCGAGTGGCAGCAGACGGGATGGATCAAGACCGCGTCGCAGTCTCCGATCCAGGGGATTCACCGAGGGACACGCGATGGACGAAAGAAGTGCGGGCGCGCTGGCGGAGTCATGAAGCAGCGACGCCGTTGACCCGAATGCCTGGAATGACTGCCTCAGGAGACAATTCCGACGTGCGCTGGGCCTCCCGCGCTGGACAATCGACGGAGACGCCGAAGGGAGCTGCGTTGGTGGCGAGAGGGGTCGCGCATGTCCCTGACGACCCGGAAACGGCGTCGGCGTCTCGATTCGGACGATGGAAGGCAACTAATCTGCCGAAAGTCGAGATAGCGGAACACTACTCGGGGACCGAGGTTATCTCATACAGCTCAAGACGGTGAAGTACTGCTGGGAACGAGACGGATACGATCCCGCGGAATTCTTTAGGAAGATGGTGGGGACGCTATCGGGAGAAGCAGAAACGTTTTATCGCATGACGCAGGACGAGGTGTTAGAGGAGTTGGCAGAAGGAAGAATCATTGACCCTACAGAGCGGTTTATTCAACTATTGCGGAAGCAGTTCGTGGGCCAGACGAAAGCACGGGTAGAGGAGTTTCGGAACTTCCATCGGAAGAGGGACGAGTCTCTCCTGGCATACTACTCCCGACTCAGAGAATTGGCGGAAGATCTGGAGAACAGAGACGAGAGATTGCTGGTGCGGAAGTTTGTACGGGGATTTTGAGAAGAACTGCGGGGAGTGGTGCGGAGCGCCGTTTACAGCATCGGTGCCGACGTCACCCTGAAGGAAGTCTATCAGCTGGCGAAGAAGACCGAACAGGCACAGCGACTGCTAGACCTGGAGGACCCGGAAGGAAAGACTAGGGCGAAGACCATCTGGGCGGCTGTAGCAGTGCCGGAGGCCGCTGCGGGAACCAGCAACCGTACCGAGCCGCGGCTGTGCCACACCTAAGGGGAGCTTGGACACCTAAATTGTGATTGTCCCAAGGCGCCGGTCTGCGAGCAATGTGGAAAGAGGGGGGATCGAAGGAAGAATGTTACAGTCGGCCGAGGGAAGTGACGAGCGCGACCCGAGAAGAGTTGCATGCAGAGATGCGGCGTCTACAATTGCGACTGGACCAACTGCCAGTTCCGAAGGAGGTGAAGTCGCGGGCCTCTTGGCCTACGAGGAGGTCGAGGAAGAGGAAGAAGGAGAGGAGTATTATAAGCACGAGTATGCCATCATGGCGTACCCCAGGGAATGAGACAACCTTCGCCTATGCCTGAGGGCCAGTCAGCCGCAGGATAGTGATGCAACCAGTGGATCTCGGCAGCGAAGCAGCCAAACGGAACGGACCCGTCGGCAAGAGATGCGAAGGCATCCGAATGAGAGGCTCGTGTGCCAAGCGTCTGTGTTGATCGCGGAGAAAGGGATTATCACAGTGGGAGGACTGCCGGTGAAGCAAGCCATCAAGGACACCGGAGCCCACCATGTCCTGATCGGAAAGGGGCTCGCGAAGTAGTTGAAACTGGACCTGGCTGGGAAAACGGTGGAGCGGGGAATTCTGCTAATGACCGCGAAAGGGGGGGAGCCTAAGAGGATGCCAAAGACGCGGCGACCGGTGGAGGTGGTGCTTCTGCCAGGAACCGAGAAGGAGTGCTACATCCGCTTGCAATTCGGGATATCGGAGTCGGAGGACTATGATATGCTCGTAGGGAAGGAGCTCTTGTACCGTGTAGGAGCCACTATTTGCACGTGGCAGGAGAAAAGACAGTATTGCGCGCAAGACTGGGACCCGGAGAGCTCGGTGGGCACGCTGCCAGTGCGGTTCGTGAGACAAGAGCCCCGAGAAGCACATCAGGCGCGGAAGCAAGATCTGACTGAGGAGCTGGACGAATGGCCTTGGGAGAGATACGGGGAGGAACACGAGCGAAGGATTGAGAGGCTGACGGCAGGCCGTGACCCACCCGCCTTGTCTGAGCGAGTCAGTCGAGTGTGGGCGCTAGAGGGATCCCTCCGTATAGTGGAACTATACGGCGGCATCGGCAGCAAGTTGGCGGCAGCCCTGCGAGCAGGATGTGTGGTGAAATAATGGATCCATGTAGAGAGCGACCCAGTGGTGAGGAAGATGGCCCGGCATCACGCTTTGATGTTGGCCGAAGAATATCCCGATCAGCTGTGGGAGACGGCTATTCCGCCCAAATCGGAGAGGGGGGTACACGACGTGAGAGAAATTACCGAGAGAGTGATGGATGACTGGGGGCAGGTAGACCTGGTCATAGGGGGATGGGAGTGCCAGGGTTATTCGAGGGTGGGAGAAGAAAGGGGGATGGATGACGCGCGGGGAGCCTCATTCTGGGTGAGACTGTGGAGAGGCTATGGGCAGCAGGAAGAGGTTGTTGAGGCAGGCCGCTGGCTGCTAGCGCCGCTGCTGTTGGCGGCTGCAGGTGCTAGCAATGCGGCTGCTGCTGGCGGCTGTTGACGCTAGAACTATGGCTGCTGCTGGCTGCTGCGGGTGCTAGTGCTGCTGCCGCGTATGCGCTGGCCGCAGGCGCGCTGACTGCCGTGCGAGCAGCAGTTTCTGTGCATGCGCACGCAGCTGCTGTGCGTGCACGCGGCGGCTGGGTGTGCGCTTGTGGCTTGTGCGCGAGCGGGCTACAGGCAGGTGCAGGCGTGCGGCTGGAGCTGTGAGTGCTGGCGCGGTTGTGCATGCGCGCGTGGCTATGCGTATGCGCTCGACTGCTGCTGCTCGAGCGCTGCTTATGCGTGGGTGAGTGGCTGCAATCACGTTTTCGCCTTCTGCTAACAAACGCATGGGCGCACGACCTAGCTGGCTAGGGCATGCGGACTGGAGGACTAGGAGGGACGTGAGGGCTGGAGGGGAGGGGAACTACGAACTAGGGCAGTCTAGGAACTAACTAGGCCTAGGAACTTAGCGCTCTGATACCATCTCCAGAGTAGGTTAGCGGAATGGGTCGACTAGTAGGAAACAAGGTACAAACAGGAAAGTCGAGAAAGTTGTGTATCCTCTCTGGTGTGTGCCTCACTGTAGACTAACATGCAGATTTGTTATTTGGCACTTTGACACGCCTGCCGTCGGTGACGCATCTTGCATTGCAGCCGACTTTCGGCCCCAAGAAAATACTGAGCCATTGGATTCGCGACCCCACGGGAATTCGGAGAATCAAGATTCTTGTTGTTGGATGGACCGAAACCCCACGGAGGACAGCTGGGTGCCCCTTGCCAACATCGAAAACCACCCTGCTTTGCAAAGAAGCCGTGGATCCATTGTATACACGACTCAAGTAGCGGAGGGGCGGGGCTTCTTTGAGAGGGGGGGGGGGGGGGGAGAGGGTAGTGTAAGGAACTTTTCGACATTCCTTACTGCGAAGGGCCACAAGGCCAGTGTACATGCAGAGGTATATATGGAATAGCAACAGTACAGTGATCACTACCTAGCAGGAGCAAGCATGCAGGTATATATATATATAGATCACAGTACAAGCAAGGTCACGAAGTGAGCAAGTGAGACGAAACAGGCACAAGGCCTAACATAGTACAGAAGCGCTGATGATCACCAGACGCCTTGGTGAATATATCAGCGGTGTTGGCCCAGGTGGTCACGTAAGCAGCACGAAGCTGACCACGCTGCTGCAACTCTCGAGCAAGGAAGTAATGCAGAGCGATGTGCTTCGTTCTGTGCTCCAGTCTGTGCTCCCGACACAAGGCAATAGCAGCCTTGTTGTCTACGTACAGAACTGGAGGAGAACAAGGCCTCTCTCCCAAGTCGGTCAGCAGGTAGGTGAGCCAGCGTAACTCCTGTGTAGCCATGGCTGTGGCGTAGATCTCATCCTCACAACTGGAGCTGAGAACAGAAGACGAGCGGGTAGACCGCCAAGAAACAGAGCCACAGCCAAGGCTGAAAGTGTAACCCTGTAACGACCGCTGCGTAGCCAGGTCGTCAACCCAAGACGCGTCTCAGTGGCCAGTGAGGACAACCTCACCTTGCCCTCCAAGCACGAGCCCCATGCCCAATGTACTGCACAAGTAGCGCAGTACCCTCTTAGAAGCCTCCTAGTTCTCTCGCCGGTGTCTCCCAGGTGCAACGTAGCGAGCTAGGATGCTAAGAGGGTACGCAAGGTCAGGTCAAGTGCAGGTCATCAGGTACATGAGGAACCCCACAAGCTCTGGATACAGGCCACTCGGCTCTACAGACTCATCCGAAGGCAGAGCTGAGAGCGAGTGACCGGTAGCCATAGGAGTGGACTGTGGCGAGGACCAAGTAAAGCCGAAGCGCTGAAGGACCTGCTGCACCATGTGTGACTGAGTCAGTGTGATGGTGCGCCGTGCTCTGTCCCGGGTGATCTGCAAACCAAGGTAGCTGCGCAGCTCACCCAGGTCTATGCACGTGTGTCTCTTCTGCAGCTCCGACTTCACAAGGGCCAGTGCCTCAGTGTTAGCAGTGGCAAAAACCAAGTCGTCGACGTACACGAGGATGTAGAACGGCAACAGAGAAGTGTCGGTGCGTAGAAACAGTGACGGGTCAGCTGTGGAAGGGGCAAACCCAAGAGCCGCAAGTGTCGTCCTCAGTGTGTCGTGCCACTCACGAGGCGCCTGACGGAGACCGTAGACTGGCCGACGGAGGCTCCACTGGGTACCAGGAGGGAACGACCCAGTGAAGCCAGGTGGGTGGCGCAGCCAGATCTCCTCGTGCAGACTGCCCTAAAAAAAGGTTGTGCTGAAGTCCAGAGAACGAAGCTCATAGTCACGCTGAGCGGCAACGTGCAGCAGCACCCGAAGAGTGGTCATCTTCGGGGTAGGGGAGAAGGTATGGAAGAAGTCAACTCCCTGTTGCTGACTGAAGCCTCGTGCAACGTATCTAGCCTTGAAGATAGGTGGAGAACCCGTCACCGTTTCACCTTGAAAATCCACATGCCATCGACGATGTTCGCCCCAGGAGGGGGAACGGCATTGCCATCAGTGCCTGTGAACTTCCAGGATGCCATCTCTGCGTCCATGGCTGTGTGCCACTGAGAGGAGTAGGGACCCATAGTTGCCTTTGCGTAAGAGCGCGGGGTCGGGATGTCTAGTGCATCCGGGTCTCCCTCAGGGGCAAGCAGCATGGCCACGAGATGAGGTACATCCGGGTCTCCCTCAGGGGCAAGACACTCAAAGTCCTCCTGCCTGTCCTCAAGGACGTCCGTGCCAAGAGCACACTCACCCCCGACGGACGGAGGACAGACAGACTCAGACTCAGCAACAAGACTAGCTGCGTAGTCGAGACGACAAGCAGCAGCAAAGTCAACAAGCTCAGAAACTTGGGCAGACGCAACAGCAGACTCAAACGACGGGTCAGTGACAACAGACGCGTGACAGTAGGGTGAGCAGCACGAAACAGGTCAGACTCAGGGTCCGGAACGTCAGGCAATGAAGATGCAGGAGGAGACGGCAGGGGAACACGCTGTGGAGCAGAGGAAGGACGAAGTGCCATAGCGTGCGTGCCAGGGACAGGAGGCGGACGCTCACGAGGAACACGACGACCAGTGCGACTTGTGCGAGCAGGTGAGGATGGACGAGACGCAAGCTCACGACACTTCGTAAGCGAGTCTGTCTTCTCAGTGGAAGGAGGAGCAGGTAGTGGGGAGCCTGGCTGTAACGAAAGGCCAGTAGAAGACAGGAGGGTATGAACCTGGCGAAGCATGGAGTCAGGCGGTGGCAGAGACGACGGTGACGGCGGAGCGAAGAACAGTCGCGGCTGTGCAGTACCACCAGCACCAGCTCCTCCAGTACTAGCACCAGCAGCTCCAGCGCCTCCAGCAGCTCCAGAACCTCCAGCTCCAGCGTCTCCAGCACCAGCACCTCCACCTCCAGCCCCACTAGCAGCACCTCCAGAACCGGCACCTCCAGCTCCAGGGTCTCCAGCCTCAGTACCTCCAGCAGCAGCACCTCCAGAACTGGCACCGCTAGCACCAGGGTCTCCTACTCCAGAATCGACAGCACCAGCTCCAGGGCCTCCAGCCCCAGTACCTCCAGCAGCAGCACCCCCAGAACCAGCACCTCCAGCTCCAGGGTCTCCAGCGCTAGTACCTCTAGCAGCAGCAGCCCCAGAACCGGTACCTTCAGCTCCAGGGTCTCCAGCCCCAGTACCTCTAGCAGAAGCACCCCCGGGATCGGCACCTCCAGCTCAGGGTCAACAGCACCAGCTCCAGTGCCTCCAGTGCCGGCACCCTTAGCAGTAGCGCCTCCAGCTCCAGCAGTGCGACTCCGAAGGCGGGTGCGCGGAGCTGTTGTCGCGAGAGCGTTGACCGCTGCGACGCAGCACCAGGTGGAGCGCCAGTAGACTCAACACCCCTAGAGCTAGCACCTCCAGCTCCAACAGCACCACCAGTCCTGGCAGCTCCAGTACCTCCAGTACGAGCACGTCTAGAACCAGAATCACCAGCAATCCCAGCGTCTCCATGACGAGCAGCTCCAGTAGCTCCAGCCGCAGCACTTCGAGCAGCAGTACCTCCAACAGCAGGACCTCCTGCTCCAGCAGCACAAAGAGGGAGACCCAGAGGAACTCCAGCAGACTCAGCACCCCATGACCCGGCACCCTCTGGCTCAGCACCCTCAGGCTCCGTACTCGTAGGCTCAGCACCCCCAGGCTCCGCACTCGCAGGCTCAGCACCCCCAGGCTCCGAACTCTCGCAATCGGAGGCTCAGCACCCGGCTCCGCACCCCCCAGCGCTTCATGTACAGGCTCAACACCCCCAGACGCAGCACCCCGAGCAGCACCACCCCCAGCAGCACCAGAGTCGACAGCAACCGGCTGCAGAGGCGGCGAAGACGGTCGAGGTGGAAAACCCGGAGGGGTCGCCAAGCGTGGTGAGCGGCAGAAGGGCATCGCGTCGTCAGCAGCAACGTCACCCCCCTCAGCTGGGCCAGAGGTGTCGGAAGTGACCTCGAAAGGCTCAAACTAAGGGGAGCGGGTCTACCTGAGACACACCTGAAGGAGCAGGACCCTGAGGGGGGAGGGGATTTGCCGGAGGGGGACCTGGAGCGAGGAAAAGCGGCGGGGGAGGGAGAGGGGCAGTGCGGTAGGGGAAGAGACGGTAGAAAGGAACCGACTCGTCAAAGGTGACGTCCTGAGAGGGGAAGACACGGCACGAGGTGGGGTGGTAAAACTGCCAGCCATGCGCGTCAGGGACAAAGCCAAGGAAGACACAGAAATGGTGCAGGAGGAGAGCTTGTCCGCGGACGTATCACGGACAAGGGCACGAGCACCCAAGACCTGGAACCGCGATGCATCGCCAACCTCTCCCGTCCAACGTAGTGTTGGCGAGGTGTCTGGCAAGGAGACACGGGGCCAGAGGTTGAGCTGCTGCGCGGCGTACCGGACCGCAAACGACCTTAGAAATGGGGAGCCGCCGCATGGATCAAGGAGGTACGAGCGATCTCCATGACCAAGCCAATGCGGCGCTCAGCAACCCCATTCTGATGTGGTGAGCCCGGAAGCGTGAACGACTGCTCGATGCCCTCCCCCTGACAGAAGGCCCGCAAGAGGTCGGAGGTGAACTCACCACCTCTGTCAGAGTGCAGACGTAGGACAGGAAGGTCCGTACGGAACCTCCGGCGGAGCTGGAGACGAACTGCTCGGATCCAAGGGATCAGGACAGCAGGGACCTCACCCTTGGTGCGCAAGGGGAAGACCGTGGTGTAACGCTCACCACCCTGTCCACGAACGTGGGCTGGGACCCACACGTCTGCAGGGGAGCCTCAGTCGGGGGAAACGAGGAGAAGTGAGGAGCAGCGCGCTATCGCCCCTCGACGCAAGGAAGGCAGGGTGGCGCAGGCGAGGCAGGGAGGGGAGGGAGAGACCTGGGAAGACCAGACACAAGGAGGCGACGGTGCATGCCACGTAGACGTGGCAAGGAGGGGTGACCCAGACGGTGGTGCCAGAGAAGATTCTGATGCGAGAGGGAGCGACACTCACAAGGGGAGGCTACCAGACCTGACGCAGACACCTGACCGACAGCAGCGACCTGAGGAGACACAGTCGTCAGTGTGTAAAGACTCGACCCTGGCCGACGGGTGAACCTGGCCACGTTATGGCCTGTCCTAGAGCACGTACAGATCGCCACACGCTGTCCTCCAGGGGTAAAGGTGTCAACCCAATGATCCTGGATGACTGCGTAGCTCACCAAGTTTGTCGAGAACGAGGGGAGGTGGAGACCTGACAGTGAGCCGGACGGAACCGCCGGGCACGGAAGCACAGTGGTGGACCGTGCAAGAACTGGGCCCCCTGAGGGGTCAGCCAGAGAGACTGCAACAGGTGCAGGGAGTGGTGTGAGTGCGGTACTGTCACGGAAGAAACAGCGAGAAGCACCTGAGTCAAGCGTGAAGGTGTGCGAGGCCTCAGCAGGCGCAGTACCTGAGAGAGCAGACTCACCCGCACCTAAGGCAGTAGCCTCTATACCTGGGTCAGGTGTAAAGGTGTGCAAGGCCTCAGCAGGCGCAGTACCTGAGAGAGCAGACTCGCTGGTACCTAGGGCAGCAGCCTCTATACCTGGGTCAGGCGGCATACACAAGTAGCAGTCACCCTCAGCACTAACTTCCAATGCTTACATAGCAGAAATAATAGCATCAAAGGCAAGAGCAAAAATGTCTACACCAGCCTTAAGCAGCTCATGTCAGAGAAGGCACTCATACTCCTCGCCCATCTCCTCACGCCAGGCGTCGTCAAGGCGGGAGAAGCAGCGGTGCTGGGTGTGGAACTTCCCGCATGTCTGACCCTTGCGGTCACCTGTGCGAATGACATACGGGCAGCGACCACCAACCCCAGACTTCCCACGCTGAGCAAGCCACTCACGAAGCTGACGTCTGGGGACGCTGCTGCTGCTACTGTCTCTGGCCAGCGCCAGTGCCTCCACCCCGACCGCCACCGCCGCCGCCAACACCGCCCCGGCCGCCACCGCAGCCGCCACCGCTGCCACCACCCCCCGCCGCCGCCACCGCCTCCACTTCCGCTACCGACGCTACCACTCCCGCCAGCACTCCCGCCACCAGTCCCTCCGCCACCTCCTCCTCCTCCACCTCCTCCACCACCACCCCCCCCCCACGGGTGCCACCTCCGCTACCCTTGGCTCCCTTGCCCTTGCCGTTGCGGCGCCTCCCACTAGGAGCAGAAGCAGCATCAGAAGACTCAGCACAAAGGAAGTCAACAGCAGCATCAGTAGCGAAGGAGGGGGCGAGGGGAGAGGGAGAGCACCCCTCAAAGATGGGGGTGCGAGGAGCGCCACGAGCAGCACCTACAGCGACTATGCTCTTCTCTGCTGCAAGGAGGTGCTCCTCTAGGAGGTCGACAGTGAGCTCAGTGCGACTGCGAGCGAGAAAGTGGTCCCTGACCGAGCTAAGAGAGTTAGGGAGATGGGTAACTATGAAGTGGAGGGTCCAGTACATCGGAGGCGGGTTCTTGGTACAGAACTCTCTAGGGAGGGCGGCGCGAAGGCGAGTGTCACTAGTACGAATGTGGGTGATGAGATCGGCAACTGTGGCAAAGGTGGACAACTCAGGAAACAGGTAGGGCAGCATGAGGCGGCTAAGCTCAGCAGTGGCAGGGGAGGAGTATCGAGCAACTACAGCGTCGTACAGGGCCTTAGCGGTTTTGTGCTCGCCAAAATGCGTGAGTTCAGCTAACGGCAGGTGGTTGCGAATGGCTAGGCGTGTTAATTGATTAGGAAAAAGTGTCGAGAGACAAAAGTAGGAAACCCTAATTGAACTTAGGGTGTGTTCAGTTTGTGCTAGAAACTATTAAATGAACCTAAACTGAACCGGAGGTGTAACTCGCTCTAAGCATGGTGAAATAACAAAGGAACACCATGATAAATGCCAGAGCGAGCACTAGCCTACTCCAACACACCCCCAGGCTAGGCGAAGCTCTGGAGCAAAACACCTAGTGAATTGGCACACCCCCAGAAGTAGAGAGACGCGTGAGCCCAAGCTCGCGCACATAGAAACGGTGTGGCGCACGTAGGAGGGCCTTGGTGAAAATATCAGCAAGGTTGGCAGTAGCGTCCACCTTGCGAAGCCGTAAGAAGCCAGATTGCACCAGCTCGCGCACGAAGAAGTAGCGGACCTCGATGTGTTTGCTGCGAGCGTGATAGACAGGATTTTCAGTGAGGTGAATCATGCTCGCACTGTCACAGGAGAGCGTCACAGAGGGCTGAGAGTGACCAAGTTCAGCAAGGAGAAACGAGAGCCAGCGAGCCTCCTGAGCCGCCAATGTGCCTGCATACAATTCAGCCTCGCAGGTGGAAAGACAGACAGAGGATGAACGAGTAGAGCGCCAGCTGATGAGGCCACTGCCAAGAGTGAAACCATAACCCTGGGAGGAGCGGCGATCAGGGCGAGAATCAGCATAGGAGGAATCACTGTAACCGGAAAGATCAGGGGGGGAAGAGCCACCAAGAGTGAGTGCAAGATCAGAGGTAGCGCGGAGATAGCGGAGAACACGCTTGGCAGCCGCCCAGTGCACGTCAGTGTGGCGACCAAGGCCAACAAAACGAGAGAGAACACTGAGGGGGTAAGCAAGATCGGGGCGAGTGCACATCATAGCATACATGAGGGACCCAACGAGCTCAGGATAAGGTCGCAGTTCTGAGGAGGGAGCGGGAACAGCAGGGGCGGTAAGCTGATGGTTAGCGGGAAGAGGAGTGGAAACAGGCTTCGCTTGCGACATTTCAAAACGCTCAAGAATGGAGTGGATGTAGAAGGATTGAGAGAGAGAGATGGTGCGGGCAGCACGATTACGACGGATCTCCATGCCGAGGTAATGACGAAGCTCGCCAAGATCCTTGCACAGGAGACGCGCCTGGAGGGCCTGCTTGACAGCGGCAAGGTCGGCAGAATCTTCAGCGAGGAGCACCAAGTCATCGACGTATGCAAGAATGTAAAGCCTGTGGGGGGAGGTGCGAATGAAGAGACTGGGGTCGGAAGAAGAGGTAGAGAAGCCAAGAGAGTGAAGAGTGGAGGCGAGCTTAGCGTGCCACTCGCGGGGGGCTTGTTTAAGACCATAGACTGGGCGCTTCAGCTCCCAGACAATTCCTGGAGGGAACGGGCGAGGGAAACCAGCGGGGCGCTCAAGAAAAATGCGTTCATGAAGCTCGCCCTGGAGAAAGGCATTGGAGACATCCATGGAGTGAATCTCCCAATCCCAACGGGCGCCTAGATCAAGAAGGAGGCGAAGAGTGGGGAGACGGGCAGTGGGAGAGTAAGTGGCAAAGTAGTCAATGCCTTCACGTTGGGTGAAACCTTTGGCGCAGTAACGAGCTTTGAAGACAGGGAGCTCCCCAGGCAGCTGCTTGACACGAAAGACCCATTTGCCCTTGACAATGGTGGCGCCAGGGGGGGGGACCGAGTCAACGTAAGATTGAGTTCGGGTGAATGCCTCACACTCGGCAATGATGGCAGCCATCCACTCAGTTGCATGAAAGCCAGACACGGCCTCGGAGTAGGTCTGAGGGGTGGGAATAGCGGCAGTGTCAACGGAGAGAAGAGTGGGAGAATTGGAGAAATCGCCAATGGTGACACAGAGGAGGGGTGAAACAGGATGAATGGAGAACAGCTCCTCAAAGCGATCCTCGAGAAGATCGACGTTTGGAGAGGGAGAGAGACGAGTAAAGAGAGCAGAGTGTTGAAAATTGGACATAGCACGGGTCATGGAGCGGGTGAGACGCGGTGAAGGTGGAGGAGCAGGAGGAGAAGGAAGAGGAGCAGAAGGAGGTGGGGAAGGAAAGGGCAGGGGAGCAGAGGAGGAAGAGGGAGGAGGAGAGGAGCCGGAGATGACAGCAGAGGGGGGAGTGGAGAGGGCAGGGAGGGGAGGCGGAGCAGGGGGAGGAGGAAGTGGAGAAGGAGAGGGAGTAGCGGAGGGTAGCGGGTCAAAGTCAGACCAATGAAGAGAGGGAGGAGGAGGGGTGGGAGGGGGGGCGAGGAATGGAGAACGAGTCTCATCAAAGATAACATCCTGGCTGCGAATGAGCTGCTGAGAGGAGGGAGCATAGAAAAGATAGCCAGGACAGTCAGCGTTGATACCAATGAACGCACAGAGCTGCGTCTTGGGAGCGAGCTTCCCACCCTGACGTGCTCGATCGGCGGGATTGATAAGGACATGAGCGACACAGCCCCACACCCGAAGAGGGCGGGCGGAGGGCTGGCGGCCAGTCCAGAGCTGGAAGGGAGTAATGGAAGGGCGAAGAGGATGGGGGCGAAGGTTGGAAAGAAGAGTGGCATGAACAAGAGCGTAGCTCCAAAGGGAGTGTGGAGCAGAAGCATGAGTAAGGAGACAACGGGTGATCTCCATGAGACTGCAAATACGACGCTCGGCAACACCATTCTGTTCAGGAGAATGCGGGAGGGTTGAGGTCTGGCGAATGCCATGAGAGGAGCAGTAAGAAAGGAGAGAGTGGTTAAAGAACTCGCCACCACCATCAGAGTGGAAGCGGGCGACAGGACGACCAAAGCGAAGGCGCGCCTGCTCAGCCCAGCGAATGATGAGGGAGGGGGCGTCAGATTTGGCACGGAGGGGATAAACAGAGGCAAAGCGAGAGTGGTCATCGACAAGAAGGAGAAAGTAACGATGACCTTGGCGGGAGGCAATGGGAGATGGACCCCAGAGGTCCATATGCACAAGATCAAGTGGTTTGGGGGAGGCAGAAGGGGAAGAAGGATGAGGAGATTGAGAGAGCTTGGCTTGGACACAAGGGGTGCATGGAGGAGCGGGAGAGGGGGGAAGGGGCGGGAGAGAGGGAGGGAGATCATGAAGCAGCTTCGAAGTGACCATGCTGCGAAGGAGAGGGAAGTTGGGGTGGCCAAGACGATGATGAAGAAGAAGGGTAGGTTGGGTGAGAGAGCGACAGTCGCAAGTGGAGACGGGAGGGGCAGAGGAAGAAGAGGTGTGATGGACGGATGAGGGGAGGGGAACACGAAGGGTGTAGAGGTGAGTGACAGGAGAAAGGGTGAAACGAGCAAGGTGCCGGTCGCGGTAATGAAGATCACAAAAGAGTTCACCGGCGGGAAAGAGTGCCCGCACACCTAGGCGTTGGAGGGTAGGGAGAGAGAGGAGGTTATGACGGCAAGAGGGAACGTAAAGGCCAGTGACAGCGCCAGAGGGAGAGGCAGGACAAGGAAGAGATGAAGTGCCAGTACAGATCATGGTCATGGTCTCCCCAGCCCCATGAATAGAGAGGGGACGAGGAAAATGGCGAAGGACACCAGCATCGCGAAAGACAGAATCAGTAGCAGCACTGTCAAGGACAAACTCCAAGGTGCGAGGAAGTGAGAGAGCGGCAGCCGTAGGGCTAGGAGAGTGAGAGACAGCGCTTGGAACGGGTGGAGAAAGTGGAACGACAAAGCGAGGGTCCATAAGGGGAGAAGCACCAAGGATGCTATCCTGAGATGGCAGGGTCACACTGAAGACAGAGGCCAGAGAACCAATACCAGAGGTGACAACGACACAAGAGCGGCGACGTTGATGGAACAGCGGACTCCAAGCAGAGGGGCGGAGAAGAGGGGGGGTCCAGCGGCAAGGAGGAGAGGCGCAAGGGAAGGACGGGGCAGCGAAAGGGGCGGAGAGTAGGGAAGGCAAGGGTAGGAGAGGAGGTACCGCAGGAGACGGGTGAGGGCGGAAGCGCAGAGGAGGAGGGGTAAGAGCGAGAATAGGCCCCATCTGAGGAAGGGGATGGCAATGGAGCAGTTGGGGGGAGATAAAAGAGGAGGAGGAATTTCGACGAGGTAGTCAGCTGCTGAGCCGTTGAGGGGAGACATAAGAGGAGGAGGGATAGCGGCGGAGTAGTCTGCTGCCGCGCCGCTGAGGGGAGAAATAAGAGGAGGAGGGACAAGGGCGGAGTATTCTGCTGCTGCGCCGCTGAGGGGAGAAATAAGAGGAGGAGGGATGATGGCGGAGTAGTCTGCTGCCGCGCCGCTGAGGGGAGAAATAAGAGGAGGAGGGATGATGGCGGAGTAGTCTGCTGCCGCGCCGCTGAGGGGAGAAATAAGAGGAGGAGGGATGATGGCGGAGTAGTCTGCTGCTGCGCCGCTGAGGGGAGAAATAAGAGGAGGAGGGATGATGGCGGAGTAGTCTGCTGCTGCGCCGCTGAGGGGAGAAATAAGAGGAGGAGGGATGATGGCGGAGTAGTCTGCTGCTGCGCCGCTGAGGGGAGAAATAAGAGGAGGGACAATGGCGGAGGAGTCTGCTGCTGCGCCGCTGAGGGGAGAAATAAGAGGAGGAGGGATGATGGCGGAGTAGTCTGCTGCCGCGCCGCTGAGGGGAGAAATAAGAGGAGGAGGGATGATGGCGGAGTAGTCTGCTGCTGCGCCGCTGAGGGGAGAAATAAGAGGAGGAGGGATGATGGCGGAGTAGTCTGCTGCTGCGCCGCTGAGGGGAGAAATAAGAGGAGGAGGGATGATGGCGGAGTAGTCTGCTGCTGCGCCGCTGAGGGGAGAAATAAGAGGAGGGACAATGGCGGAGGAGTCTGGAGCTGCGCCGCTGAGGGGAGAAATAAGAGGAGGAGGGACACAGTGGGGACAGAGCACGGCTACGAAGCAAGGCCGGCAGCCAGCTGCATCAGTAGACGAGAGGAGAGAGGCGGAGGAGAGAGGGAGATCGGGAGGGGAATGAAGGGAGAGAGGAGAGGAGGAGGAGGGTGAAGGGGCGGATGGTATGGAAGGGTAGTAGATATGGCGAGAAAATAGGAGGAGGAAGAGGTGAGGTGGTGCTTGACGCACAAAGGAGAGTGGAGGAATGGAGGAGGAGCACGAAAGGGGGGGAGGAGAGGAGAGGGGGAGGAGTGGAAGAGGTGGGTGTGCTGAGCGGAGAGGAAAGAGGTGGTGCGAAGGAGGCAGGAGAAGGGGGGAAGGAAGGAGGGTTCGGCGCACCACGAGGGGAGAGGAAAATGTCCGCGAAAAAAAGGGGGGGGGGGGGGGAGGGCGGCCGCGGAAAGGAGAGAATGGGCGGCGGGGAGAGTGACGGCGGCGGGCAGACTGTGCGCGCGCGACGGCAGCGAACAAGGCGCGCGCGCGCGACGTCGGCAGTCAGGGCGCGCGCGCGACGGTAGAGGGAGGGCGCTTGCGGGCTACGGGAGGGCAGGACGTACGACGGGAGGGCAGGGCAGGGCGCGCGCGACGAGGGGAGATGGCGTGCGACTGAGCGACGAGGCGCGCGACGGGGTAGGGAGGACTCGGGGGATGGAAAAGGGGGTCCGCGAGTTTAAATAATGAGGGAAACAAAGAGAAAATCGAGGGTCGAGATGGTAGGAAACGAAAAATCTACACTGAGTGGGAGGTGGCGCCCCGGATGCCTAAGGTCTAAAGCGTCCTAAGAGATGTAAATAAGCAGAAAACGCCAAGGATTAGGCTCTGTATACCATGTTAATATAGGAGTGGTAGCCATGGCTAGGAAGATAGGTTGAAGAAATTGATTAGGAAAAAGTGTCGAGAGACAAAAGTAGGAAACCCTAATTGAACTTAGGGTGTGTTCAGTTTGTGCTAGAAACTATTAAATGAACCTAAACTGAACCGGAGGTGTAACTCGCTCTAAGCATGGTGAAATAACAAAGGAACACCATGATAAATGCCAGAGCGAGCACTAGCCTACTCCAACAAGGCGAGCAGCAGTATCACGAGTCTGCCAATGGGAACAGGCGCTAAGCTTAGCTGTGGCAGCAGGAGCGACTGAGGCACCAGACGTGTGGTCATAGAGAGAGACATTGTCCTTGCTATCGCTCATTAGGAACAGCTGCAGGTCATCGAGCCAGGTCTCCAACGGAATCGGACGGCCCTGAGCATCCAACAACAGAACGCGGAGGGTGGCCATAGCTGCCGGCGCGGGACTAGCAGGGCAGAGCGATTGCAGGCAAGCAGCAACAGCAGGGGCGGTGCGCTAGGGCGTAGCAGGCAGCCGCGGTAGAGGCAGGCGGCACACTGGGCTACAGGCGGCCGGTAGGGCAGCAGGGCGGGCCGCGCGCAGGGCGTAGCGGGCGGCTGCGGCAGCAGGGCTGGCGGCGCACAAGGCAGCAGGGCGGGCGGCGCACGAGGCTGCGGGGCAGTGTGACGGGCGGCGCGCGGGTGCAGCAGGCAGCAGCAGCAGCAGGGCGGGTAGCGCACGGGGCTGCAGGGCAGTGTGACAGGTGGCGCACGGGGCATAGCGGGCAGCCGCGGCAGAGGTAGGCGGCGCGCGGGGCTACAAGCGGCCGGCAGGTCAGCAGGGCGGGTGGCTCACGGGGCTGCGGGGCAGCGCGACGGGCGGCGCGCGGGGCGTAGCAGGCAGCCGCGACAGGAGCAGGCGTCGCACGGGGCTACAGGCGGCCGGCGAGGCAGCGTGCGGGGCACGCGGGCTGCTAGCGGGCGGCGCGCGAGCCGGCAGGAGCTGCGCGCGGGCTGCGCGGGCAGCGGGGCGGGTCGCGTGGGCTGCTAGCGGGCGGCGCGCAGGCCAGCAGAGGCGACGCGCGGGCCGCGCGGGCTGCTATCGGCGCGGCACAGGGAAGGGCAGGGCGTGCGCGGGGCTGTGCAACGCAGGGCACGGCAGGACAGGTTTGGGGTAGCGCGGTAACCGCAAGCGGTTGGTGGTGGGCCCGAAAAAAAACGGTCCTAAGGTCGTAAGGACCTAATTCTCTTAATACCATGTTAGAAGAAGTAGCAATGGATGAATGACTATCGAGAGAGTTGTGTACAAATAGGAAAACCCTATACCCCACATTGGCTACCCCACTACAAGCTACATATAATTATAACACATATATAGTTTGACACTTTGCACTCGTTTGACACCTTAGGGCGTGTTCCTACGACCGCCTATCAGGCCACCTCCTATCAGGCTCGGAAATAATAACACTGAAATTCGGGCTAACCCTAAACCCTTCGCGCAATTTACCAAGCAAGTCCGATAAGAGGTGCCTGAGGGCATGTTCCTACGCCTTGTATCGAGCGAACCTCATATCAGGCTCCCACTGGAAATTTCCCTAAACCCACAATCCCTCGCTAGTTTTATCAAGTAAGTCTGATATGAGGTTGCCCGATATGAGGTGTAGGAACACGCCCTGATAAGGGGCCGTAGGAACACGCCCTTAGGGTACATTCCTGTGTAGACACAAATGTCTCAATGCCCTATTTCCCGAGTCGCGTCTACACATTTTTCAATGTCGCGTCTCAAACATTAGATGTATCGCGACACTAGGCGATCGGGCAAAAAATACAGTTGTGCGCATCTGATTGGGTTTCGGAAATGACTCTACACCAGTTTTGTCAAACGCTTGGCTGTGGTGTGGTTTTGATGCGCGAATTTTTTTCCAGCGCGGAATTGTCATTGTGGGGTGTCCAAATACATTGACATTTCGGACCGTGGGCGACCTTTTGAAATTGACGGGTCAATTTATAACTCATCCGCGACGTCAGCGCGTTTCACGCTGACCAATAAAAAATACTGTAATTGTCGTAGAAACACGACTCGCAATTGGAACACAATACAGTTTAGGCTGTTTTTGGGTGTCACAATGTGATTGAGACACAAATGTCGACATAGGAATGTACCCTTAGTGCAATACACGTTACCTCGTTTCCCTTGCACCCGTAACATGAGAACTTTGATATTTTTTTTGTGGACAATTGTAGTCAGGGCCCATGCTAGGAATTGGGGCACCCTGAGGCCTCAGGGCACTTCTCTAAAAACTTAAAATGTCAGAATGTTGTATTTGTCTAGCCTGCAGTGGGGTACTCTATAGCGAGTAGAGCCAAATTTAGGGTTTCATATATGTATCCTGCTGCTGCTAGTCCAAAGCCCCTCTTTCCTGTTCTAATCATTTCTACCTGCTATTCTGACATGCTATAAGAGAGGTTATGCATTCGCGAGTTGACGTCGGTGGTGCAGAAGCGATTCAAGTTCAAGGAGGGCACGGTGGAGCTGTACGCCGAGAAGGTCGCCAACAAGGGCCTCTGCGCTGTCGCGCAGGCGGAATCGCTGCGCTACAAGCTGCTCGGCGGGCTCGCCGTGCGCCGCGCGTGCTATGGCGTGTTGCGCTTCATCATGGAGAGCAACGCCAAGGGCTGCGAGGTGATAGTGAGCGGGAAGCTGCGCGCGCAGAGGGCCAAGGCGATGAAGTTCAAGGACGGCTACATGATCTCGTCCGGTGGGCCCGTGCGCGACTACATCGACTCCGCCGTGCGCCACGTCATGCTGCGCCAGGGAGTGCTGGGCATCAAGGTGAAGATCATGCTGTCGCACGATGCCACTGGCAAGGCTGGTGTTGTCCGCCCTCTGCCCGACCAGGTTACCATTCACACGCCCAAGGACGAGGACGATGCTCTCTTCAAGCCTGTTATTGGCAAGGAGGCTGAAGGCCTGGTTGTTCTATCTCTTGCATAAAGCCAAAATCGCTGAAGCTTTATGAGTGTGTAGTGGGCAATGTGGTATGATATAGCTTTGTGTAGATGGATGTTGAAATCCAGATGTTTCACGCCAAATCAGAAATGCTAAAAAAAAAAAAAAAAAAAAAAAAACGCCCCCCCTCCCGTTGCCCATCGCGGCGCCCTGGGGGGCCGCGCGCCGCCCTACCCGTCGCCCGTCGAAGCGCCCCAGGGATTCGTGCGCCGCCCCAGCTGCTGCCCGCATATCTGCCCCGCACCGTGCGCGCCCCGCCTGCGTTTAGGGTATGGGGGTGGCGGGTATGGGGGTGGCGGGTGTGTGAGCCGTCCCCTGCTCCTCCTCCTCCTCCGTCTCCCACTGTTGCAGCTACCGCTGAGGGGGGTGGATGTGTGGGAGCCGTCGGAGTGGTACTAGGGGGGTGGCGTGTGAGCAGTGCTAGCGGTATAGCAGGGGGTGTGCGAAAGGGGCGTGGGACAGCTGGGGGAGGTTGAGTGGAGGCAGCCGTCTTGTCGTCCGCAGCGCCTGTAGTCCGGGGCTCTGCCGCTGGTAGCCCAAAGAGTCTGCAGCGCCTGTCGCCCGTGGGTCCGTTGCTCCTACAGCTCGTCTTAGCGCGGAGCCAGTTACTCCTGTAGTCCGGGGCCCTTGCCACCGGTAGCCACCATGTGTGCGCTCCTGTTGCCCGTGTGTCTGCAGCTTCAGCCGTCACCTCCCATCGTCTCGCCCCTACAGTCTCTCCTCCTCCTCACTTGCCCTCTGTGATAGCCTCTAGCTTTGCTTATCATTGTGAACTATTGCTCTGCTTGCTTATTGTGCTGATTACACCCCACTTTGGCTATGGGGGTGTGTCAGAATGTTGTATTTGTCTAGCTTGCAGTGGGGTACTCTATAGCGAGTACAGCCCAATTTAGGGTTTCCTATATGTATCCTGCTGCTGCTAGTCCAAAGCCCCGCTTTTGTGTTCTAAACTGCTGCCTACTGTTTTGACCAAAAAAAAAAAAAAAAATCCGATTTGTTAGGGCAAATTTTCAAAGCCTTCCTGTACGTTCAGGGCTTCTACAGACATTAATCCTGACCTGTCAGGGCAAAAAAACCTTTGTTCAGGGTTCAGATTTCAGCAGAGACCAGACCAGACCAGTCTCTGCTGAGCAGAGCAAAGAGACGCACGCCTAGTGCGTGTTGGCATGGCACACGACGAGATGGGAGTATTCCCTGTTTCCCCCATCTGGTGCGTTTGGTTGGTGCGTTGCACAGCAAGGGGGTCGCGAAGGTGGGAAAATACACGGGGAAAGCAATCAATGGGGGAACTTACTTCGGGGAACAAATTCCCGGGAAACGGTAAACTCCCCCCCCCCCCCCCCCCCAAAAAAAAAAAAAAAAAAAAAAAAAAAAAAAAAAAAAAAAAAAAAAAAAAAAAAAAAAAAAAAAAAAAAAAACGCGTCAGGGCAAGCCTCTACATTCAACCTGACGCTACAGGGAAGAACACCACAGCCATCCTGATTTTCCAAGGCATTTCATATGAAATCATCCTGAGAGCTCAGGGTAAAAAGTTACACTATTCTGAAATCACGGGGCAAATACAAATACGCATCCTGAATTCAGGGTAATCAGGATGTTTTGCCCTGATATCGTGGGGCCTGATTGTAGTCTGGGTCAAATTATATATGTGCTATATATATGTGTAGGCTGTAGTTGGGTAGCCAATATGGGGTATAGCCCCTTTAGGGTTTCATACTTGTACCCAACTGCCTTCTAGTTCATCCCATTCCTGCTTCTATTTCTGACATGGTATTCAGAGCAGTAGGTCCATAGGACCGTTTTTTTTCGGGCCCACCTACCGTTGCGGTTACTGAGCTACCTTACGCACTGCCCTGCGCTGCGCCCCTCGCACGCGCTCTGCCCTGCGCTGCGCTCTAGCGCGCGCCCTGCCCTGCTTTGCCCTGCGCTGCGCTGCTCACGCGCGCTCTGCCCTGCCCTGCCCTGCTGCCCACGCGTCTCCCGCTAGCAGCCCGCGCGCCGCCCGCGCAGCCCTCGCGCAGCCCGCTGCTGCCCCCGCGCGCCGCCTGCGCACGCTCGCGCAGCCCGCTGCTGCCCCGCGCGCCGCCCGCGCACGCTCGCGCACGCCCGCGGCTGCCCCACGTGCCGCTCAGCCGCCCTCGCGTGGCCCGCTGCTGCCCCGCACGCCGCCTCTACCGCTCGCGCAGCCCGCGGCTGCCCCTCGCGCCACCTCAGCCACCCTCGCGCGGCCCGCTGCTGCCCCGCGCACCGCCCGTCTCTGCCGCTCGCGCAGCTCGCGGCTGCCCCGCGCGCCGCCTCAGCCGCCCTCGCATGGCCCTGCTGCTGCCCAGCACGCCGCCTTACCCACCCGCGCGCTGCTTCAGCAGCCTATCAAGACTACGTGCAAAGCGGGGTGGATCTTGTCAATGGCTGGACTAATGACGTTTGAGAAAAAGGAGCTGATGGAGGTTGCGCCGGCAGGAAAGTAATGTTGAAATATATTTCTTATATAAACTGCTTGTAGCAGTAGTTAGTGTAGTGTCACATTGTTTGGTGGTGCACCTTGCTTGCTTTGCCTATAACCTTGTACCTTCTCTCTTTATTCAACACCTTTTCTCTTTTGGAACTCTCTCGACATCCCTCTTCAACCCTAAACCTAAGCTACTAAGTCACTCTAGCCATGGCTTCTAAGCCCAACTAGCTTAGTATCTTAACATGGTTTCAGAGCATTTACGCTCCTGGCCTGTAGGCCCTACTACTGCTTCCGCTGCTACTGTTCTGCTGGTCGCGCGCCCCGGGCGCGTGACACTTTTTCATCCCGCCGCGCGCTCGTGGCGCGCGGCGGTTTTATGCCCGCCGTGTGCCCCGAGGCGCGCGGCGGGTTCCTGCCTCGTGCGTCACCCCGGGGACCCACGCGCTGCCCTGCTCGTCGCCCGTCGCCGCCCCCGATGCTCGTCGCGTCACCCTGGGAGCCGCGCGCGGCCCCCCGCAGCCCGTCGCGACGCCCTGGGGAGCCGCGCGCGACCGCTCACAGTGGCCCCTCTCTGCTTTGCCGCCTGCGCACTATGCTTTCCTACGCTGCAATCATGGCGACTCTAAATGTCCTCGCTTTCGATCCTGACGGTCGCCCGATCGAAATTTCTACTTGGCTAGACGACCTTTCAACTGTTTCTTATGACTGACACCAAAGATGGCGTGTCCATGTACGATCACGCGTCTGGCACTTCCGTTGCTCCTGCTGACACTGCTGCCGCTCTCGACCGCTTACAGTGGCAGACCCGTGATGCTACTGCGCGCCTCGCTATTCGCAACCATCTGCCGATAGTCACAGAGCGCACGCATTTTAGTCAGCACAAGACTGCTAAGGCACTGTATGAGGCTGTAGTTGCCCGCTACTCTTCCCCAGCCACTGCAGCCCTAGGTCGTCTTCTCCTACCCTACCTGTTCCCCGACCTGTCCTCGTTTACCACCGCTGAGGACCTCATCTCTCACCTTCGCGCTAGTGACGCTCGCTTTCGTGCCGCCCTTCCAGACGAGTTCCTCGCCGAGAATCCCCCCCCCCGATGTACTTTACGCTCTACTTCCTCGTCACCCGCCTCCCTGACACTCTTCGTTCAGTCAGGGACCACTTTCTCGCCCTAGACCCTACCACTCTCACTGTCGCCGACTTCGAGAAGCAACTTCTAGCAGCTGAAAAGTACATTCTCGCTGTAGGTGCTGCTCGTGGCACTCCTCGCACTCCCCTCTTTGAGGGGTGCTCCCCCTCCCCTCTTGCCCCCTCCTACGCCTCTGCTGCTGCTGCTGTCGACTTCCTTGGTGCTGAGGAGGTCGGGGCTGCTTCCGCTCCTAGTGGGAAGCGCCGCAGCGCCAGAGGCAGCAGGGGTGGCAGGGGAGGTGGAGTTGGCGGTGGAGGGGGAAGGGGGGGGAGACGGCGGGGGAGGTGGAGGTGGTGGGGGTGGTCGTGGGGGTGGAGGTGGTGGTGGGGGCGGCGGTGGTACCGGGAGCAGTGGCGGTGGCAGCGGCGGTAGTGGGGGAGGAGGGAGCGGTGGTGGCGGCGGTGGTGGGGACTGGAGTGGAACCGGCCAGAAAGGGGGCTCCGGTGGTGGCCAGGGACAGCAGCAGCAGCAGCAGCAGCCGCAGCAGCAGCTGCAGCAACGTCAGCGCCAGACCCCCACGTCTCAGCAGCTTCATGACTGGTACGCTCAGCGTGGGGCGTCTGGTGTCCAGGTCGCTGCCCCTATGTCATTCGCACAGGTCCCCGCGCTGGTCGCCCATGCAACGGTTTTCACACTGAGTACCGCTGCTTCTCTCGGCTTAGCGACGCCTGGCGCGCCAAGTTTCCTGAGGCTACTGAGTTTCCCCCCTGGGCAGACCTGCTTAGGCGTGATGTTCCTATCTTTGATCTTGACTATGATGCAATTCTTGCTGCCATGTATGCATTGACTGTTAGTGCTGAGGGTGACAGCTATTTGTATATGACGCCTGACCCAGGTATAGAGGCTGCAGCCCTAGGTGCTAGTGAGTCTGCTCTCCCTGGTACTGTGTCGGCTCAGGCCTTGCACACCTTTACACTTGACTCTGGTGCTTCTCGCTGTTTCTTTCGCGACAGTACCACAGTCACTCCCCTCCCTGCACCTGTCCCTGTCTCACTGGCTGACCCCTCTGAGGACCCAATGCTTGCACGGTCCACTACTGTGCTTCCGTGCCCGGCGGTCCCGTCCGGTGAGCTGTCAGGTCTCCACCTCCCCTCGTTCTCTACGAACCTGGTGAGCACCGCTGTCCTTCAGGATCACTGGGTTGACACCTTTACTCCTGGAGGACAGCGTGTGACGCACTGCACGTGCTCTCGGACCGGCCGCCACCTGGCCACGTTCACACGTGCGTTTGGGTCCAGTTTGTACACTCTCACCGCTGTGTCGCGCTACGCCCCTTTGTCTCCTCAGCTGTACGCGTCCGCTCAGGTAGCTACCCAGTGTGAGTGTCGCAACCTGTCGCACCAGACTCTC